GTTACTCTTTTGGCAGTTCTAGTAGTTAGTGTGTTGTTCGTCTTGGCACTCTGTTGCCGGCGTAGATGTAAAGCGTCAAATTCACAACAACGACAAACTCTTCAAGGGACTCCTGAGACATCATCAGTCGCCGGATCAGTCGCTACGACCGATTCAGGTAATCTAAGTAATGACATAATAATCGGATGATAAGGTTCCTTTTTATCCATCTTCAAGTACTTTTCTCATTTAGTTTAGCCTGTGCCAGGCTCTCGGACAGGGTGGACGAGCGAGAAAAGCGAGCGAGCCGTGAGGTAGCGAACGAGAAAAAATGGCGGGAAGATAGAATGGGAAGCCTGTTAGCACCGCCGACTACCCCGGCCACTTCCTGAAAAACAGATTCTCGTTTCAAAGTGTCAAATAATTGACGCAGTAAGAGTTGAAATAAACTGTCACAATTGACCAATCATAGGGTCTACTAGGCAGGAGCTGGTATACTGGAATCAGGTATTGAAAAAAATGATTACATGCTCCACTACTCCGTCTCTCCACAACTACCACGCAATTTTCGCTCAGCTTTCTCGACCCGCTTTCCTCACTATCTTGGAGCCTGGAACAGGCTACATTCAGTCACTTACTGACTTTTTATATAGTTTGGTATGCACTGTGCGGTATAGAAATGGCTTTTAAAATAGTTTACAAGTGACACAAAGACATAATGAAGTCCAAAATGAAAACTGGAGACTGCCACAAAGTTTTCAATAAAGGTTAACATCTCTGCTTTGTTATTGCTGAAAAATGCTTGGTAACTTTTCTGTACATTTTTAAAGTTCATGCTGACTTTGGCTTCTCCTGTATTTTCAAGAATCTCACAAGAAGACAAAACAAAAACAACAACAACAACAAATTCGCTTTATGGAGCACTGTCCTGAACTGAAACCGTGGCAGTTGAGTTGTAGTGTTGGGGCGTCTCCTTGATCATGAAACAAAGCAAAATAAGTATACGAAAACACAACAGGGAAAAATACCATCACAGTTTGTAGAACAATAAAATCAACTTGACAGTCTCAATAACGGATTATGTCAATAACCTACTTGTTGCCCTTTATCAAGAATAACATAATTTATGACGCAAAAGTTTTGATCGGTTCAGAGGTCATTAAGAGCGCTTACCATTTGCGCGAAAAGTTCGCTAAAATTTTCCGTAAAAAGATACGGTCTTGTTTTTCGCACAGAAAAAAGGAACGGGATTGGGTTGTACCATTTACAAAATACAGTTTTCCACTTTTTCAGGAGAGGAAGCATCGCACATTGGTAACTCACGCAAAGGTATAGAAAATTTCGATCGTTTCGGTAAAAGCGGGAAAAAGCCAATACCTCAGAAGGTGTACCTTTTATCTGAAAAATTTCCACAGAGATGAAACGTTCCATTTGAATTTTCACAGAAATTCTCGAATTTTCTATACAAATGGTAAGCGCTCTAAGTCACTGCTGATAACTGCCTACAGACAATTGTCCCCTCATGCGCATTACAGACAGTGCTCTGCTTGGGCGCATGCCCAGTTTGGACACCGTCTTTGAGGGACAAGATGGCGACCGGCCCCGCATTTCCCCACTAAATTACAAAACAAAACAAGCATAACAATCATTGAACTTGGTTCTCAAAATGTCATGATTTGTCAGAGTCTGGCAGAACAGTCATTGCCTCTGATCAGGGGCAATGAGCGATCTTCTCGTCACCAACAAATCACGACATCAACACCGTCAAGTAATACTTTAAGACGTGACGACTTATTTCCAGCTATGCCCTTTACCTAGACATTAATATATCCTTTTTTTTTGGAACTGCAGAATCTGACAGGTCATCTGACTGTCAAATCTCGAAAGGCCAAATCAAATCGCCTCTTCAGGTTGTGACTAATGTTTAAGAAGACAAACCACAGCAGCAAGTACAAGAAAGGAACATACAGAATACATGAGATTAATCCCCGAACAATTCTAAGTGCGTTGTGTTCTTAAAAAACAACACTGTGAAATTACAGTGAAGTAGTATTCATCACTTAATAAGTGATCACTTACGAACGATGGGTTAGTTTTAATGGGGTTTTCTTGTTCAAGATTTTATGGGCAAACATTCTTAACACGTTTCTAAGTAAAAATGTTAAAATGGTAGAAACTATTTCCTGCAGTTTGCACCGTAGTTGAAGTTAGTCTGAAGTTCTTTTCTATGAAAAGAGATAAGTAGTGTTTTGTGAAACACGTTAAAATTTTACCCTCTTTTTAGGAAATAAGAAGAGAGACTTTATTTTTTGTAGCAAAAACCGTGTAATGTAAGATTTACAATAAAAGTAGTTTAAAGTAAAATTAGATTGATGATTTTTCAGTTACTGACCCAGTTAGAGAAAGAATCCAGGGGTCAATTTAATAAAAAAATTTACACTTTTAATTTACAGGTGTAGCCATTGTTTTACAGTCTGAGAACAATAGCTACACTTGTAAATTACACGTGCAAAAGTTTTATTAAATTGACCCCAGGTGTTCCCAATAGGAGTCGAACCTATGAACTTTTGGTTACCAGTCCAAATGCTCTACCAGTAATAAGCCAGGAGAGACTTATGGAAGCTAAGGCCATTATTATACTCAAGTATTCACCAGGCTTCAAATTCACCATCACGTTTCTATCGTTGTGTAAAAGTACCGTACTTCCCCGAATAAGCGCCCGGGCACTTATTTAAAATTTCAGTTAAAAGGATAGTCGCTTATTCGAGGGGGCGCTTATTACGTTTTCCTCTAAAAGAACTAGAGAATGGTTTAATTGTTCCCAAGACATTTACGGCATTTACCAAGAGCGCACATAAAAGACCTCTGCAAGCGCACGTGGATATAGGACAGCTATTCTCCCCCATTATTCCGCTGAAGTCGAAGGCTAAAAGGTTAAAAGTAAAGCAGCCATAGAAACTGGTTTCCCCCGTATCCCTACCATTTGAAAAAGTGAGGGGTCTGGAGAAAGGCGCTTATTTCGGGAGAGCGCTAATTAGAGCGGGCGCTTATTCGAGGAAAGACGGTAGATGATTAGTACTTGCCCTAAGTACTTAGCTTATCGATCGATGGCTTAAAGAGGTGCCTGGCGAGCTTGAACCTTGGAATAAAAATCATAAACTATCTAGGAGGATCCGTATTTGTGGAGGCCTCCCACGCAGACGTTCTTTGGGCTCAGGCTCAGAGAACGTGTATGTGGGATCATGGGAAGCTATTTTTGTGCCCTCGCTCCCCGCCAATGAAGATCGTTTAATTATCGGCTGATGTTGCAAAAACCAAGGATGCATCACGCTATGTATACTGTACCACCTTCTTTGAGGGATAATTAATTTTGTTCTAGAAAAACTTGACGCTCAGGCAAGCTTTAAGAACTGAAAAATGTCCAACAGGGATAAATCAAGCCCTGGTACTGTCTCCCCCACCCCATTCCACGGGAGACTCGACTGTAGAGATAACGAGCCGAGAATTTCCCTCCGCTTTTACGTAACATGCTCACCCACGCAATAATTCAGAGAAACTGCCGGCGGTCTCACTTTCCCCTGCGCAGAGGCTCATGTGGCATGACTAAGGTTAGTCTCCTTCGCAGCCGTTATTAGGGTCGTTACGCAACGCTCGTTAACTAGCGGGGAGGAGCGTTGCGTTACGACGGCTATGAACGAGTCTAGACGAGAGTGAGTGGGCGCAAAATTTGGTGGGCCTTTGTACCGATTATATAATGCTAGCATTTATTTGAACATTTTAGTGAAGCATTAAGCGTTATTCGAGCATTTTAGTGGCATTTTCCCGGAAAATTTTTTTTTCACAGAAAAGAAAAATGGAAACATTTTTGAAGAGATATGACGACTTTGAAAATAATTAAAAAAAATATGTTCAAATTTTACCTTAATACAACCTTGTAGATGATCTTTTTGCTATATTGAAACTGTTTATTTGTATACATTGTTGTCACACCACTTATACATTCAGTTGTTAGCCTTAAACCTCCCTTGAAATGTTTAGAATTAAAAAAGAAAAAAGCCTCATTATGCCGATTAGATCCTTAATCATAACTATAACAAAATTGTCAAATCTGATTGGCTCTCAACTACCCTGATTTCAGCCTTAATTGGACAGTTTAATAGGACAGTACGCGTCATGCCTAAGTAATTGGACAGTACGCGCCATCACGCGCGCGCTTAAATGGCTTTTTTTTTTATTATTGCTAGCGAAGAAATCTTAGAATTTCTTGTGTTTTGATTTAAAAAGAGCCCTATATATCACAAATTTTATTAAAGTTATGATTAATTGGTAACAGAACTTCGTGTCGTCCAATTCGGTCTGTAATCATACTCGTGATTAAACAAATCGGACTCCCGCTACGCGGTCGTCCGATTTTGTTAATCACTCGTATGATTACAGACCGAATTGGACTCCACTCAGTCCTGTTACCATTACTTATTAGCTACAGGATCCGGTCCTTCTTTTTTGTAAGCTCGTCCTTGCTTTAAAAATTGAATCTATATGATGATCATTGTCGAGCATTTAAGTAACTTTTTGGGGGACTACCGAGCATTTTAGTAGGAAAAATGGAGGATTAACGTGGAGCATATTAGTGGCGAAACCAAAGCATAAAGTATAAAGGCTTAAAATTTGGCCCTTTTTTTCGGTTTTCGCGCCTGCACTCACTTCGCGCAGCATAAATTCAACGACGCCTCCTCAATTCTCTGCGTCGGCTATCGGCTAAAATTAATTTGGACAGTACTGCCAAATATAACTGACCCCTGCGCTACCCTCTGCACCCCGTGACGTCAATTTGGGGCACTTATCACCGCGCCCTTGTTAAATAGGCGAGCCGAAGGATCGGATCGGAAGATAGGAAGTTGAAAACGAAAACAAACCAAAACGGAGACACTTGAATCACAACTTGAAAGAAACGCAAACATTTTCACAGACCGCTGGTTATCGAGAAAACATTTTGAGGACAAATAATGGCAGGCATTAGTACTGAACCAAAAACGAGAAGTCCAAAGACTACTGCAAAGCTGATCAGAACAACGTGTATTATTTTTCATAACACTAGAATATTTCGGCTGGCTATACCAGCCTTCTTCAGGTTTACAGATTAGTACTGAAATGGCGCGTGCATTTAGTGTTTGCAAAACAGTTGCATGTTTCACACATTTTCTTTGTTTTTTTCTTTTTCTTTTTTTCAGTTTTTGCTGTTTCCACGGAGGAGTTGCGTTGACTACATGCAATCTGTTACTATGTTCAGTACATGAGACACCTTTATCGGAAAGCGTGCAACATAAGTAGATTCACGTATTTTTTTTCGCCCACTAAACTTGGAAAGGAATTTTTGGTGGATACACAAAAACATCGATATCCCAAACACCCAATGTTTATTTTTCTCTGATTCAAGGGTTTCATATTGCGCAATTTTTGACTGCTTGAGCTAGTGATATTTGTATCTTATTTCGATTTTGGATTTAGTTACAATGATCTACAGGATTACAGGGAAAAGTTACAGTGCTTTCATGTCATTTCCCCTTGTTTTATTTTAGTTTTTTGCAGTAACTGCTTATGACTCAGCTACAATGTTGCTTGCAAAGAATTTGTGTGGCCACTTCCTTTTTCCTGCGAACAAATTGCGTGATAAATTCGCTTACCTCCGTTTACCTCACTCACCACCGTAATTCCGGACGAAATTACTAAAATCGCCCCAAGTGATTGTGGGCAGAAATTGGTGCGGTTGAAGTCTTACTACGCCAGCATCACACTGATAACTGCAAGGCTAGTAAAATGCAAGTTTTTGCAAGAGTTGAACCGGTTTTTGGACCCAGTTAAGCCTTTGAGTTCTTTTAAACATTCCAGAGTCTTCTGGGATGAGGTCGGGAAGGTTCGAGTGATACGTGTGGCGTAGCTCGTCTGGGAATGTGACAGCAGGAGAGGATATCCGTTGTCATAACTTCAGCTCGGTTCTTGAGCTGTTATAAAGAACATCGTGGACCGATGCTTAGTCAAACTGAGGAACAACTAGACAAGTAAGGATCCAAAAGAAGGAAAACGAACTTTTTTAAAAAAAGCATATCATATCAGGTAAGTTAAACTTATTGAAACCATTATCCCATAAGTCAATTAAAAGAATATCAAATTAAGTAGACTTAAAGCATCTTTTATAGTCATATCAATTCAGCAAAGAACCGGCGATGGTGCTATCACTAAGAGCAAAGCCAGTGATTGACTGAGTTAATATTTTGAGTGAAGTCTAATTAGTAGTACTCTTACTTATTGCAGCCATTTTACGAATTATCATAATCAAAGAAAGAAGAAAACGAAACATGCAGGGAATTTTTGCTTTGATTCTTCTTCTTCCCATGCTGGGAAATTCAGGTATTTTTCTTCCTTTCTTTTGTCATTCACGTAGTGTTCCTGGTATACCATGAATCAAAACCTCAGCTCATTTAACACTTATTATTTAAACCTCAGTTTTTCCTCTGGAGTTAACACTGTGGAAACTGTTCGAAATTTTTACCTTAGTGCCTAAATCGTATCATGTGACTATTCACGACTACTATCGATTGTCCGCTACTCTGACAAAATTACCTTGTCAGGCACTTCTTTGAATAAGGACTTAAAACTATGATTCTAAAGTGAAGTTTTTTTGGTCGTCAGTTAAGTTACGCTAAAAAGTACTGACGTCTTACGCAAGGTTTGCATTAGCCACTACTTTGTCTCGACTTTGTCAAACCGACATACGAAAGGGTATACTGTCACTTTCAAAAAGTGTTCAAATGGAAGAAAATACTTACATAACGAAGTGAATTTTTCTTCTCTTTATATATAGTCCATGTTGAAAATGAATATTGCAGACCGCGTCCTACATTAGTACCCATCGACAGCCCAAACTACAAGTTCTTCCCGTACTTCGTCAATCTGCATAGATGCGGTGGATCCTGTAAGAAGATTCAGCCCTCAGTTCGGTCATGCGTGCCAACACAGTATACTGAGGTCCCTGTTACGGTGCAAGTAGTTGGTACAAAACGATGGATGGAAATTAGAATGCAGAACCACACTAGCTGTGGATGTGAATGCACCTTGAGTCCGAGCCAGTGTGACCCGATTTGGGAGAACTGGAAACCAGATCTTTGCCAATGCAGGTGTAAATATGGTGATAAGCCACCAAAGCCTTGTGGGAATGGGCTCGTCTGGAGTAAAAATGACTGCAGATGTGTTTGCAATAAGGAGCCAGAAATATGTCCACCAAATAAGGTATGATCACTATGCAATTTACGTCAGCGTCGCCTGAGCTACTTACGTTCCCGGTACGATTCGCAACGACGATTTTTAGCAGAACACAGCGTTGCAACATTGTTGCGACATTGTTACGGATGGTTACAACATTGTTCCAACATTGCAGCGCTGTGTTGCACTAAAATCGTCGTTGCGAATCGTCTCATGTAACATCACCTTTACGGATCTCGGCTAGGAAATGGTATACGTTTGCTTTCGTTCACCGCAAGAGTTGTCAACAAGATTCGATGTGAGTGATTTTTATTTACGCCAGGAAAATGGTATAATTAACTGAGTCTAGTATAACTTGTGTGATTTCAGGTTTGGAGCTCAGAAAAGTGTGGGTGTGTTTGCACGGAAGAGAGAATTAGGAACTGCACAAAAATGCAAAACTCTGTAGACGAAGAAACATGTATGTGTACCAGAACGATATCGGAACCAGAAACGGGCAAAGTATCCTCTACTAAGCCCACACAGAAAGGTAAGAATGTTTTGCACAAGTCACCTATCAAGGTACCTGGAATGAGCTATGAAATCACCTTTTACTGACACAATGAACGTTGCCAGCTCAAACCATTCCGTGGTTCTTTTTTTAGGAAGTGACCCACCCTTGTACGGAGCAAATTGTTGTCGCTGGAAATATCTATAAGTCACCAATGTTCATCAGCAGGATACCTAAGATGTTTTCAGTTATACGATTGGTTTCGGCTCCATTAAATCCCGGCTATAAATTCGAGCTATTTTGATAGTAAAAAATACTTTTTACAAGCAAAGCAATATATTAATAATTAAATCAGTTGCTGTTGTTTTCTTTTTCTCAGGTGGATTTCCTCAGGAATTTTACATCGCCCTTTTCCTAGGACAGTTTGTACTCATGTATTTGGTGTTTGATGCCATCCTTTACCGCAAGAAAGCTGGTGTAATTTACCGTCTAACGAGAAGTTGTTCGGCAGATAAAGGTAATTTGTCTGATCACTTTATAGCAATATCCTTTTCGTATATCACACATGCAGAAGCCCAAGCAATTATCCAAACAAATTGAAACCACGATAAAATAATGAATAGCCTAAAATATCAACTGCAATTTTGCGATTGCGTTGGCTTCACGTGGCTTTGTTTGTTAGATTCAAGGTGAGAATTTCTCAAAATAGAAAACATAAGCAGATAAAAACTGTCCAGAACAATTCTTATGGATAAAACCGGCTGACGAGAAACCATGCATTTTTTTGTAGAATTAATAGTAACCACAATTAAGGGGAAAAATGGGTCATGTGGTACAAATTCACGTTTGCCGTTTTGCGTAAACGTGACTGTAAATCTCTCTATTGGCTTAAAAATCTCGCGCCACTTCCCCAACCAATCCTCACCTCGCATGCGTTTTCCCGTGCTTAATTACGATTGCGTCTGCGCACATTATGATTGGTCAAAGAAATTACTATGAGTATGAATTTATGACCCTTGAATATTAAACTCTATCTCGTTTATATCAAATAAAAATCTGTTCTATTAGGGGAGCAAGTTAGTTCGTAGATGAGCCAAAGCTTTCACAATTTGCAGGTTTCTTAAAACATTTTTTCTCTTACAGTAACTATAACTGGAAGTCGTTCAAAAATTGAAGATTCAAGAGAAGACATCTTCATTCAATCCAGCAGTGTAGTAGTCATGACAGATCTACCCACACAGACAGGAGAGAGGAACATGGCGGCGATCAGTGATGTGTAGTTTTTAGACAGCTTGTTCTTTATAGTTATACAGTAATTGCAAGAAAGCCGCTGGTCCACACAGAAGAGACGTAATTCTGAGGAAAAAAAAAAGAAAAAAAAAGATCACAATTGCCTTGCCTCCACATACGTCCTTAAATTAATACAGAGAACAAATTTTCTCTAAAAACACTTGTGATCGAAAAATGCAAATATATCGTCACACTGATTTGTTAGCCTCGATTATAAACTTTTCGTTACTAATTGTCGCGATTTCACAAAAAATAAAACCGCGAAATTTAGGTGGACGCGAAACTTAGCGACGCAAAATTTAACTACGAGAAACCCTTGAATTACCTTTTTAAAATGTGCATTGAATATAATGTGTCCAACGTTAAGAAGGATTTGACAGTCATTTATCAATAAGTATTGATTTAAACTTTTCAAAAACTAAAATGGGACTGAAAGGATTCTCAACTTTCGCGGACGTTACATCCCTTTAAGATAAATATTTTGAAAAATTGAGAAATTTATGTTCCATTTTTTGCCAAATTTAGTACCACTAACGTTTAACTGACTCGAGTCCGGGATAGGATATCATTAAAATCGTTTGATACCAAAGTAATTCAGATATATTCTTTATTCAAACCACAGAACAATATCAGTCTCTATATTTATTGTATAGCTATTTATAGCTTCACTTCAGTTTTATGAAGTCGTTTAAGCCAGCACAAATGTACATCATTTATGTATTTCATATTTATTTATTCATTTAGTAACATGACAGTTACCAAGACACCTATTTATTTCTGCTTGGAGCAGGCCATTCATGTCGTAACTAACCTTGTGGCATAAAATGCAGGAATTATCAAAGTTGAAATATTTATTGACAACTTAGTTCAAATATTTATTGACAACTTTAGTTGTTGTATACGTTGAAAATAATATTGAGAATAAAGAGAGTAATATGATCTATGAATGGAATGTATCTGTTCTGCTGTCATCAAGGAAAGACATTTTACTACTTAGGAGATCATTTTGTACACCTTTATAAGGTTTCAGAATATAATAAACAAATCCTATTCATCAGTCCAAAAGTAGAAAATAATTTCCTAACTATTGATAACCATGTCGATCATTTATGCTAAAACAATTCTGGGCATTTTAATATCTTGTCAGTATTCTTACTTGGATTTGTCTTTGTCTTTTATAAAAGGGTTCCCTCCAAAAAAGAAATTACGAAAAAGCTGACGTAACACAACCTCGGGCCCAAGTCATGACGTACAAACATGTCGTACAAGAAAGAGTGACGTAAAGTAGTTCGCCCGAAAGAGGCTCAAAACATATAATATTTCCCTTAATGTAAACTGTCTGAAAGAGGTCAATTTGAAGTTACCGGAGAGAAAAACTCTTTGAATGGGGAAGCGAACGGGCCCATCAAATTCCTGGATAGTTCTGCAATGCATTATCTGTCCAGCAAAAGTGCAAGACTACAGCCGCTTTAATTTTGTGAAACAGAACGCAGCTTTTTGTTGGTCTTCTAAGACCAAGCCTTCAAAAGTTCTCCCCAAGCCTAATTTACACGTTCAAACTACACGAATATTTAGGGAGCAGAGCGGTTAAAAGCAGTGATTTCCACCTTTTTCTTAAGTATCTAGCCAAGATTTCATTCAGTCCAAAAATGACTCAACTGAGTTACAGTCCTTAATTCAATAACTATTTGTGAATTTTTGGATAATTTTTCGGACGTTTTTAATGTATTAAATTTAGGGAAGGAGATGTTTAAAATTTTGGGGAAATGGAAATGTATTGCATTTGCCGGTTGTTAAAAATTCAAATACAGTTATGAAGTGAATAATTAGTCTGACAATTACCAGACAGTTCACCACCACGAGAAGGTGCCTCTGATCCCATTAGCAGACTAACTGGTTTATGTCTATACCTTTTCTACCCTAACTTTTTATTACCGATCCTTCCCAAATCAACATCATTTCCCCCAAAGACCAACCGTAATGCCCACTTAGAGGCTATGACTATCGATCTACTCAGCGGTTTGGAAGGAAAATGTATCTCAATTTCATCTTAAATTACTTGATCTTCCAGCTATTTTAATACTTTGTCACAAATAAGCGTCAGTAAAGATTTTGCTATGTCTAGGGAGTCCCTCAAGGGTTTCTTGAAGAACCACTGTACCTTTTGTATCGTTTATTTCATTTTTGATATATGCAACGACCCTGAAACCACGATTCCTACGCATTCATCATATTCCGGATGTTTATGGTAAGCAATCCACAAGATACTGAGTTATATGGATAATTATGGATATAGAAAACATCTTTTGCCCTATATG